GAAGAAGACAGAATGCACACCATTATTGTCCGTGGACTTGTTTTCTGGGTCTAGTCTCACTCAGTATATGTCTGCATACTGGTCTGGCATCTCGTCTCTCAGAAGCCAGCAGGAGTCCATCGATACACCGGTCACACATCTGTAAATTTGCCCCCCTGGAAAAGTCACTTGTAGACCATCCGGTCCACATAGAATTGACGCATTGGTTTTAGTCAATAAGTCTCTTCCCAGCAGGTTGACAGGTGTTTTAGGAGCATTTACAAAAGAATGCCACAGTGTCTGTGTTCCAATTTGTGTCTTTAAACGTTTAGTGAGTGGCAGTACCTCAGGTGTCCCAGAAAATCCAACCAGGGTGATGCGCTCCTCAGAGAGCAGGACAGGGCGTATAGTCTGTTCTATGTTGTTTTTCGTCTGTGATACACTTGCCACCGTGAAGTACGACCGGGAGACACTTCTTTACATTCGGGACCAAGCTTGTGGAGGTTGAGGCAGGTCTTACCCGAACTGAGGTGCTTGGACTTTATTGAGTGCCCCACTCGTGAGGCCCGTCAAACAGGGCAGGCGGGCCGCGGCAATGGCCGCGAACAGAGCGGGGGGACTGGGCGTCTCCATCGTGCTCTCCGCGGTGTGGAGCAGGGTACCGGGAGCCGACGCAGGAGGCGCAGACACCGGGGAAAACGAGGCGGTCTGCTCGTTCGTAGCCGCTCCTCCAGGACCCCTTTGCCCTCCATCTACCTGGCCAACGTCCAGTCTCTGCCCAACAAGACGGACGAGCTTCTGTGTCGGGTCCAGAGCCAGCGAGAGGCCCGAGACTGCGCTGTGTTCTGCCTCAGCGAGACGTGGCTCCATCCAGGCGTCCCGGACTCTGCTGTTCAGCCCCCGGGATTCCCCGTTCACCGCGCGGACAGAGAAAAGGAGACCACGGGGAAATCCAGAGGTGGAGGTGTGTGCTTTTTAATTAATCAGCGCTGGTGCACGGACACTCGCATCGTGAACCAAACATGTACTGCAAATCTGGAATGCCTGGTCTTGAGCTGTCGCCCTTTTTATCTTCCGCGGGAGTTTTCTGTGATATTTCTATGCGCTGTTTACATCCACCCACGAGCGGACTATACTGTAGCACTACAGGATCTGAGCGAGATCCTTCATAAATACGAGACTGCTCATCCTAATGCAGTGATTATTGTCGCTGGGGATTTTAACAAATGTAATTTAAAGACTGTACTCCCAAATTTCTACCAACATGTGACTCGAGCTACAAGAGGAGCACATGTTCTGGATCACTGCTACAGCAATGTGAAGGGAGCTTACAGGTCCAGTCTCAGACCTCCATTTGGAAAGTCCGATCACTCCTCTGTTCTCCTTCTTCCCTCATACTCTCAGAGGAGCAGGGAACATAAACCAACCTCACGCACTGTGCAGTGTTGGTCCGAGGAGGCTAGCATGAAGCTACAAGGGTGTTTTGATGCCACTGACTGGTCTGTGTTTCAATCAGAGGATGTTAATGAATTCTGTGACGCTGTGTCTGGATACATACGCTTCTGTATTGACTGCTGTGTCCCACAGAAGGTCATTAAAGTACATCTCAGTCAAAACCCTTGGATGAATGCGGAAGTGAAACAAAAACTTCATGAGCGTGCTCTGGCGTTTCAATCTAACGATACAGTTGCCTATAAGCTATCCTGTTATGCATTGAAACGTTCTATTAAATCTGCAAAGCGCAGTTATGGGGACAAGTTAAAGGGTTATTTTAAGGAAGATGACCCTCGGCGCATGTGGAGCGGTATTAAAGCCATCCCCAGATAGCAAAAGGACATCGTTTCAACATTTAAATAGTGTTATGGCCTATGATTGAATAGATGTTGAAAAATGACGTTGAACTGCGATTGAAAGCGCTCGATATGATAGATGTCGAACACAACGTTGATTTTTGAGCTTTTCTGACATGGAATCAATGTCATGCAAATAACATTGATTAGGAGTTGAATAGATGTCAAAATTCAAACGTTTTTTAAACATGGATTCAACATTGATTAAACGATTGAAATATACCTATATTCAACCTTTTTTAAACGATATTTTGATTATTGGAGCTACTTACCGCGTCACCAAAAGGACATCGTTTCAACATTTAAATAGTGTTATGGCCTATGATTGAATAGATGTTGAAAAATGACGTTGAACTGCGATTGAAAGCGCTCGATATGATAGATGTCGAACACAACGTTGATTTTTGAGCTTTTCTGACATGGAATCAATGTCATGCAAATAACATTGATTAGGAGTTGAATAGATGTCAAAATTCAAACGTTTTTTAAACATGAATTCAACATTGATTAAACGATTGAAATATGCCTATGTTCAACCTTTTTTAAACTACATTTTGATTATTGGATTTACTTACCGCGTCACCACCTAAATCAGCCACTAAACATTCACCGCGGTCATCATGTTGAGTCATTTACACAGGCATAACCAGTCCAATATGGATCTGAGGCATAATCCATCTCCTCCTGTTGTTTGTTTACATTACGCATCCATATAGCACTCAGAATGACAAGTTTACCAAGGTATTTACATTACAAAATTTTACTGCGCATGCCCCATTTAAATCGTTATTTGGTGCCTATAGCGTGACAGTGCCTCCTGCAGTCCCAAGACAGATATTACAGCATAAGTTACATCTTTTTTGTTTTTTTGCACTTCAGCACTTCAGCACTTTTGCTTCCATGAATAAATATAGTAAAAAAAACAATAACCTGCCTCCATGAAGAATGTACAGTAAATTAAAAACAAACAAACAAAAAGCATTTGGAGCAGAAGCACATGAGACATGGAGAAGAGACAGGAGATTGAGTTTTGACCAAATACCACAAAAATAAATAGAAAACCCATTGCTTATGGTGATATATTGGGGTAGGTTTTAAGTGTAAAACTATAAAAGTAAAATAAATAAATACATATCTCCCCAGGATCCAGTCAAGAATGTATGAATTATAGGCAAGTCAATGTTAATTTATACCGCATTTCATACACAAGGTTACTCAATGCGAATATATATTCCCTCAATTTGTTGCCAACACAATGTAACCACTGTATAATACTTTGTTTCATAAAAGTACTTATTTACAGGGCCATCATAATTAAGGCTATCCAGGTAATTGTAGTGTAGCAATAAAACGTTTGTAGAAGTGGTGCAGATTTGGTTAGTGTCACGAGGAACACTGGTACACAGCATCATTTTCAATATTTAACGGAATTATACACAACGAGCAATTTGCGCCAAAAAATGTGTTCAATTTCATTCAAAACTGGAGTTCAGTGTGTTTGAGCTTATTTTTTGTATTTTCAATGAATATTTGCAGTAACACAGTTATATAACATCACTATTTTCAAATATATGTACAATTAATGCCTGTTGGAATACATTTTAGTGCGTTTTAATTACATTTAAGGCCTTTATTTCACAATTCATTCAATAATAAATAAATGACCCTAACAAATTGATATATTGCCACACAGTAGTGCATTTCTTTAAAAAAAAGAAAGAAAGAACAGAACAGACCATTTTAGAACACACAATTTTTAATAAAAATTACATAGCACATGGACTCAGAACAGTATTTTAGAAGTTTAGCAGTACTCTAAAAACATGTTATTTTTTCTTTTCTTTTATTCTTTTATATTTATTTATTTAGTATTTATATATATTTGGGGGTGAAGAAAAAAAAAAAAAAAAACACGTTTAATTACTGACCCCCAGAGCTTTTCTCTTCAGTCCATGTTTCCTCTCTGGGGCGTACCGCAGCCATTTTTTGACAACGTCTCCAAAGGCCAATTCAGTAATGGACTTGTCATAATGACGTGCAGCCGCTAAAAAGGGTAAGAAAAAACACACAAAAATAAGTAAATCAGAAAAAAACAAAACCTAACTTTATTTATACACTGCATATGACATAGGGTTCAGATTAGGTTACAAATAATTTGTTACCTGAAATTTGGTAAAAAGTATTCAGGATTGTTAGGAAAATAAATAAATGAATAACGTTAATAAACACAATAAAAGACGCGCGCACAAAAAAAAAAAAGTTTTATTTAGTTTTAGAGCCTAATAGCAAAGAAATACTGTATGTTTTATATAGTTTAAAAGTTTTAGAGGTTATGCACATGCTATCGAAAAAATTAACATCAAATCAAGTTCTACAGTATGGCCCTTAAGGGTCCTATATCATGCAAAATCAACTTTTAGAGCTTTTAACCATGTTGTAATGTTATTTCCTTATCAAAAACACCTCCAGAGTGTTATTTGGTTTCATTCACGCATATCTCAGTAATCCTAATGAGTCATGCTCTATGAGCAGCAGTGCCCATTTTACTCATTTCACGTAAGATTGTAAAACCAGGAAGTGCCCGACATCTGTAATGTAATGAAGAATGTGAGCATGTGTGCCTTACGGCCTGATTTCAATTCGTAAAACAGCTTTTCCATTATTTCTGTAAGAAAGTGCCCGACGTGTCTGCGCTGCCCCAGCAGACTAAACAAACACAGCGCTGAAGTTAAGAAGTGGCTCCTTTCTAACCTACTCTGGACACTCTTTTATTCTTACCTAACGATAATTTCTCGGCGAAAATGCGTGTTTGGCTGCAAGAGGTACAAGACGTTATTCAAACTTCCTAAAGACTAACCAGACAGAATCTGTTTGTCTATGATTGTCACTTCACCAATGGATGTTTGGCAAACCTTGGCCAGAACCAAAGAGGATTAACTCTTACAAAAATAAAAACACCCGATGGGGAGGCCAGAGCAGTAAGTAAATCAAAATGCGATCATTATATTTCTACGACATGAGCGGTCATTATTTTTTCAGAGGTCCTCTAGCAGAAAAGTCATGACCCGTAGAACGCTGGAAAATCCCATTCAAGTCAATGGAGCGTTCTACTTGCATTGTGAAGAGCCGTATAATAAATGCCTTTAGTTTACCCTTTAATTTGAGACAGACTCACCAAACATGCAGTCCAGTAAGGAGGTGCTCTCCGAAGGCCCTTTTACCTCCTTTTCCCTTCCAGTTAAAGAGGCAGGCCAATTGGTTTGAGAGGACGGCTGACGCCATGCGCCGAATCATGCAGCCAGAATCCACCCCTCCGACTAATGTCAAACGGGCCACCTTAAAGAATAAGAAAAAAATGGTGTCATGAACAATACAATTGATATTGAAATGTAGTTCATATGTCAGGTAGATGTTTTCACATCTAGGAAAAATTCTAATCCTACTTTACTATATTACTGTTATTCACCAGCTTCCGTCGCATTGCCTCTTCCTTAAGCACTGTCTCCAGGTCATTGAACTGCTCCTCGGTCATCAGTGGAAAAGCCATGGGAAAGTCTCTGCCCTCAGATCCTTTTCCTCCATGTAGCATTGTTTTTATGTTCATTATTTCACTTTTCACAAACTGCATATCACGCCCGAGCTGCTTTACTTCTACCAGAATCTCTGCCAGCATGGCTGTAGTTTTATTTCCAGTAATATCTTGAAAAAGCACACATTTTACATTAATTTCATTAAAACATTGTATATGACATTACATTGAAACCAAACAATACAAACAACCAAACTACAACATTGCAAAAATAACCATAAAAGCATTCTCCTCTGCCATCAGACTCATGAACACCAGACAACTTGCACTGTTGTATTTGCACTAAGTAGGCGACTTACACCGTACTTATCTTAGACTTATTTTTATTACATGACCTTAAAGCTTTATTAATTATTATTATCTACTGTATGTTGCATCATTGCAAAAAATCCTAGAAGCTACAAAAAACACCAACTCCAAACTTCTCACACTCACTATTCGGTATAAAAACTACAATCTTCCAATCCAAGCTTGAAACAAATCTGAGATGGTCGAGCAGAATGCATTTCTTGATTTAACATGGAATGGTATATTTACCTTTAAACAATTGCTTTGTTTCCTTGGAGCTTTTTTCAGGAGCTGCGCCTACAATGAATGGTTAGTTGTGCTTAGTTGTGATTGATGGGGAAAATACAACAAAGAATTTGGAGCAACTAAACTATTAGTACAGTGTGAAAATAAAGAATATATTGTACCCGTGGTGGTGAGGATGGGTGACCCAAGGCCAGAAGAACTGCTGCCAGTTGTAAATATGTTGTCTGAGGTTAGAAACAGCAAACAAAATGAATGGTGCACAAACAATGAAACACTAATCATGCTGTGAACGAATAGCAGTTGTAAATGACATTCACAAACATACAGAAGTAAGAAATGGTATGGTTTGAGTTTAAGTTTTTAAATTATGGAGTAGAGTTACACAATAAGAAAAAAATGTTTTTATGTTTTTGGCTCTATAAACCACCACAATGGATCTGAAATGAAACAACAAAGATGTAGTTAAACTGCAGAGTTTCAACTTTCATTTGAGACTATTTACATCCACATGAACGATGTAGGAATTACAACCGTTTGTATATGTGCCTCACACATTGGACCAAAAGTAATGGGACAAGTGGTTGCTCAGCTGTTCCATGGCCTGGTGTCTGCTCTTCCCTCATTATCCCATTTATAAGGAACAGATGAGACGTCCACAGTTCATTTCAAGTGTGATATTTGTATTTTGGATACTGTTGCTGTTAAATAGGATTTGCAACCAAAAGGAAAACGTTTGATTTATAATTGTTACTTGATCCCTTAAAAAGTAGGAGGCTCACATACAAATGGTTCTAATTCCTGCACCGTTCATCCGATTTGATGTAAATACTCTAAAATTAAAGCTGAAAGTCTGCAGTTTAAGTAGATTTGTTTCATTTGAAATCGATTGTGGTGGTTTATTGAGCCAAAAACATAAGAATTGAATCAATGTCCCAATATTTATGGACCTGACTATAAGTAATGTATCCCACACATTTTTACTTTTTACTTACCATCATTAAAGAGCTCCTGTGATTGAAACTGTGTCAGAGAGTTGGCATCAAAGCCTGAAAGAATAAAACCAAAACAAACTAAAAATTATAAAACATATTAAATTACCAGCAAAGCTTATAAACATAGGGCAGGGCTATTAATCAAAATCGCAATCTCTACTTTGGTCAATCTCAATAATTGTCATGAGTCTTTAAAATTCTCAGGTTAGGTTTTCTTTGGCAGAAACAGCACCTAGTTTTGGAGTGTGGATGAAACAATGGAAGATTTTTGTGCAGTAGTTGTCAACTGGCGTCGGGACCCTATGATGTCAAAACATGTTGTTGAATAAGCATCAAATAAGAGGCCTATATAACATACTTGTAATAAGTGGATCAGATAATTCTTCATCCTCTATGCAGATGGCTCTGGAGACTAGACAAACAGTATTGTTATTTGTATAAAACTCTAAATATGTATAATCTATTCCGTAACATTTTCTAATATAACAACATTGCATACCAGTGTGTGACAGGGGTGCCTTCGTAAAATGGCTAGAGGCTGGCATTTCTTTATTAACAAATAAACATAATTGATTAAATGTTGAGCACTTATACAAATGTTGAATACTGCATGGTGTTGTCATCTTTGTACCTGGAAAATTGACCTGTGGTGCTTTTGCAAATCTTTTTCCAGAACCTCTTTCTGGCTCCTCTCCTCCATCTACATATAATGGATTTGGTCTAAAACAAACAAAGCACTTTGTGTTTGCAGTTTGGTTTCAAACAAAATAGGCAATTATTTAGATAGTCAATGTCCTGCGGACAAAAAAAATATATGTATATAAGGACGTCACAATTTGTTTAACATAAAACAAAAAAGGTCCCATGAGTATGTCTGAGCTGAGTATCAAACAAAGATTTATCAGCAGAGGTCCCAAACAGAAATGTTTGTGATGGATCAAGCGTGTATCGCTCTCTAATAACCAGCCATTTGCACTACTCTATTGGACTATGTGGTATGTCTACACTTAGATCTGCTGCTATCACTTAATGCACGTGCACATTTGTGAATACACTTACTCTGTTGTTCTATTTCAAATTGTTGTCATCTTTATCATATTTGAATTTATTTTAAATTTGCATATATTGATTATAGCCTTATAGCTTTAAAGTTGTATAGTTTATTTTTATCTAAATTATGTGTTACATGTTTTATGTTCCATGTTGCATGATTGTACTGGGAAAAAAATCCTAGTGAACCTGTTCTGAAACAATGGCAATGAACACTATTCTGATACTGATTTCTTGTCTCCAACAAAAAGCCAGAAAATTATCATTCCAAAAATCTAATTTAAAACAAGCAACTAAAGTGTACCTTGATTTCCTCTTTTTTCGCTCACTCGCCTCATCTTCGGACTCCAAATCAGTGGTTGCGCATTCGGAGTTTATGTACTTTCTCTCCAGTTGTGTGGCCTTTGCATACGAGTCTGAAATAAAGAATTCATTGAATTTTTATTATCAATACTTACAAGTGTTTGAAGGCAGAACAAGGCATCATCTCAAGCAGGGGTGGGCAATTAAATTTTATAACATGAGTAACCTGGACTGAGTTTGAGGGTCACATGACAACTTGAACTTAATTCTGTTTCTCCCATTGCAAAATGCACTAAATTATATCTGTAACTCGCTTGATAGTAATTGTAAATATTGTATACAAAAAAAACAACGTTAACAAAGGGGGCTATCATGTCGCTTTTGGATGAAATACATAAATTAAAAAATATATAGAACCAATTGAGCCCACTCAAGGGGTGGTAATGGTGCCTCTGATAAACGCAATTTGGCTTGGAACAAACAGAAAGAATTATAGATTGTAGAAAAGGCTGTCTATAGCCTGGCAAGCTGGCCCTTTAAGGGGCAGGGCCTAGCCCACAGGTGTGCAGCATGAGCAAAGTGAGATGAGAAGAGGAAGAGACGCATCGCAGTTAGTTCTGAAGGTTCTTAAGTTTAGTTGCAGTTTGTTAGTCAGACTACTTTGAAGATGTTTGTGCGTGCACATTACAAGTGTTTAATATAATAAGCCAAGTTTGTGGTGAAATTTACCTGTTTTACTGTTACTGTAATTGGTGCCATGCACTGTTTACGTGAGCACATGTGGATATACATAAGCGGTTTTATGTTTAAAGTGAGTATGACAGTAGTATTTTTATTTGAGTAGAGACTGATACCGGATTATTTTCTGTTTTAGTGTAAAGGACAAACAACTAATTCAAGCCTGCATTAAAATGCCACCAAATCATCACCTCTGGTCTAAAGACTGGCATGTTAAAGGCTGCGCCTAGCTCACCGGTGTGCAGCATGCGGGAAGAGAGGAAAAGAGAAGAGAAAGGAGACGTGTCAGAGTTTACTGTTCCTTGATTTTTTTATTTTTTTACCCCAGTACTTTTTGATTATTGCTTATTTGCCAGCCCACTTTGTTGTTGATGTTGTTTGTAATCAACTTGATTCATCACCCAGCACCCAAATGGCAAAAAATAGATACATAAATACTCACCACAGGTTACCATATGACGGATATTTACATATTTGGTCCAGTCATTTTGGGGCGGTGTTCTCTCTTGTACTGCTCTGGTCACATGTACATTTTTTGGGGGCCAAAATACAGATTTCTCTGATTCATTGAACCAGTTGGTTGGCACTGTTGCCAATCCATTGTTGGGGAATTGGACAACAGCCCACAGCACCACCTCGTTTTCCATCCTGTATTAAAAAACAAATCTGCCTTTGTACAGCAACAGCAGCAGCAGCAGCAACAAGAACAACAAGAACAAGAACAACAAGAACAACAACAAGAACAACAAGAACAATACAAAAGCCTACAGCATATGCACCATTGGAATAGCAATGAGGTTGCCTTCAACTGCATCTGGATAAAGGACACATTTCCTTTTCACAGAACAGAATCCACAAACCTCCAACGCATCAGACAGCTCACTCACTTTATAAATGCCCAAGCAAGAGGAAACACAAGGATAACTGAAAGATGATGCTTTTTCTGCAAATCTTTTGTAAATCACATAGATTTCTTCATCTTTCTTGACAACATTCTGCACTAATGCAATGTCATCTCCTACTTCAAAACAGTTGTCTCCCTGCTTTATAGACAAAGTAAAATTCATGCAGGAGACCTTGGAGTACTGGGTGGCAACACAGAATTGTTGTGGAAGTGGACCATTTGTATGTATCTGCTGAAGGACTGGTTCATTTGTTGGCAATGGACATGCTGCATGCAACACTTCAGACAACCGCTTCACTACTTGTTGCAAAGGCTGATGCGGCTTACGCAAAAGATTCTTTATTTGGCCAAGACAGTTTTCAAATGGAAAGCCAGATACATTATCAAGAGATCCAAAGTTTTTGTATTCTTCAGCCAAATGAATAAGTTGGTGCACATTGTACACGATCTGCTCCTTGCCATACAACTTGCCGTAATGCTGCACAAAGGAAACCATCAACTGGTGTGCAAAGTCAATCATTTGCCTGGAGAGTCCTGGAGACAAAAACAAATACATAGCCACCGAATACAACATGAAGTTATCATATAGCTCACTTGGAAGGCAATCTTTCAGTACCAGAGGACCCCAGTATAACATGAAGGACCTAAACTCTGTCGCTTTCCAGCGATCAAGCTCCACCAAAGCCCTTGGTTTGCGGTTAAACTCACAAGGAGTATGGACTTGTAACTCCAGCAGCTTCTGTGATAGACTGTTAACTGACTGCGTAGAAAGCCTAACAGTTAGGGGGCCCTTTAGCCACATATTCAACAGCTTTCGGGTTACCCCAAGACAGCAAAGGTGCATGTAATCTATTGGGAACATGGACACCATTTTCACTACACCTGTCAAAGGGCTAAGCTTCTGTTTCAAGTGATGCTCTTCGTCAACCATGTCACAAAAACTTGAGTCTGTTCTGAGCCTGACATTGGTTTCAGGATATGTCATCTTGTTTCTCCAGACACCCTCCTGATCACACTTGTCGCATCCAGAATAGCCATTATGAGACTTGATGTTCTTTACATAGGCCCTGGCAGGGGCATCACACACAAATGAGGAAACAAGAACCTCAAGACGCCTACCATTGTGACTTATGCCTTTAGCAAGAACATTTTTAAGGTCACTTACAAATTCCTGCAGAAACTCAAACACACACTTTGGTTTACTCAAACCACAGAATATACCAACTACAAATGGTGAGTGGGTGTAATCACATTTCAGCATGGCAAGAATGGGCCAGAATTGAAGTTTGGAACTTCTGAAGATGGGAAGACCGTCTATATTAAATTGTAAAGCCAGACTTCGGACACTCGCAGGCAAGCTCAAACATTTCAGTCTAGATAGTATTCCTTGCTCCAAGCCACAATGAAAGTAGTCGCCGCCTTCCATCTTAGTGGTTGGAACTTTGGATATTGTTCCGAGCAGTGTTCTACCATCTTTGGGAAGAGAATGGTGAAACTGCCTCAAAATAGACAATAGAGCAGTCAAAGCAACTAGACTAACTGAAAAAGAAGTTGCCCAATATCGCAGGCTCCTCATAAGCAAATCCCCACTTGGCTCATCATCAGAGTCCAAAGAATATTCAAACTCCTCACTGCTCACTACATGATCTTCAACTTCTTTTGAACAACATTCAGTAAAATCACTTTCCATCTGAGGAGTGGAAGCTGGAAGTTGGTACTCAGATGCGCTGGGGAGTGACACATTTGATGTCTGCACATCTGTGTCATTAAATGAGTCCTCATTTTCCCTTGACACCTCATATTCCATCAAGATGGCCCTCTCTGTGTCCCTAACTACCTTGCTGACTCTACGTCTTTTAGCCCAATATGAAGACATCCTAATTGCATTTGAGATGGTGCTGTAAAAATTGCATTACTTGATTGCTTTCAACTTGGGACTTCTGTAAAAGAGAAATGGAAATCATTATTAAAGCTTTTAGATTTGGTTTTAATGCTTTTTGATTTTTCTGTCTGAAAGTGAATGACTAGTACAAATGAAGTGTATGTGAAATGCTGTATTTACTCACAAATAAATATTTAATTGGCATAAAACCTTGTGTCTTACCATGACATTGTTTTATTTTACATTATAGGCTATTCAACTTTAACCTTATAAATCGCAGTGTGCTAATCATAGATCGTGGCTTTACCGAAGTGCTTTAGCCCCCTCTATTGGGTGGGGAAAGTTATTGTTAAACTAAGCAGCGAATTATTAACTACCTGAAAAGTAATAAAACCCATTTGCATAACACAACCTTGATACCATCCTTGTTCCCTAAAGCCTAGCGTACATCGACAGAGAAACTGGAGACAACTAGTTGAAGGCGGCTTTTGGCAACTGAGAGGAGATGATGGAGATGATCAGTTGCCGAAATCGGTTGATGTGAGCGCTCTTACAACTGGAGATGATCAGTCGGTCTCCAGTTTCAGTCAGTTGCCCGTGTTCTACTTTTCGGCAACTAGTTGTCCTCAGTTTTGGAGATATGACCCGATGTGCGCGCTCCATGCGCC